AGTGATCACCTGCCTTCCTAAAGGGAATAAGCCTAGACATTTGATTAAAAACTGGCGTTCAATATCCTTATTAAATGTTACATACAAAATAGCATCAGGGGTTATTTCTAATAGATTTAAGTCAGTTTTAGACAAGCTAATTAATATGGATCAAACTGGTTTTATATTGGGACGCTATATAGGAGAAAACACTAGACTACTATATGATTTAATGCAATATGCAGAAGAAAATGATGTACCAGGTATGATTTTAATGGTAGACTTTGAAAAAGCGTTTGACTCTGTCTCTTGGAAGTTTATTGAAAAGGTTTTAATCTATTTTGGATTCAAAAATGATATTATTGTATGGTTTAAAACGCTACATAAAAATGTATCAGCTTCAATTAACCAGGGAGGTAACTTATCTGCTTTCTTTGATATTAGAAGGGGCTGTAGACAAGGCGACCCGCTCGCACCCTATATTTTCATCCTCTGTGCTGAAGTTCTAGTGATTAGAATTAGAAATAACCATAGAATTAAAGGCATCAAAGCAGGTGAGCTTCCTATTTTGCTATCTCAATACGCTGATGACACTTTTTTCACACTTGATGGATCTGAACCATCATTATCGGAATCTTTAAAAGAACTTAATACATATGCTAGCATTTCAGGTCTTAAAGTAAACATTGATAAGACCCAGATTATATGGATAGGGTCTAAGAAGTATAGTGAAGATACTTTTTTTACCAGATTTGAATCTACAATGGGGCAAGAGCGGTTTACTCTTCTAGGAGTAGAATTTGATGTCAATCTTCATGCTATGCCAAAAATTAATTATGACAAGAAAATAGTAAAGCTAAAAGCACTTATAAATACATGGAAAAGAAGAAATCTTACACCAATAGGTAAAATACACATAATAAAATCCCTTTTAATTTCTCAGCTCAACCACCTCTTTATAGCTTTACCAAATCCCGATGAAAAAGCATTTAAGACAATCGAATCTATCATATTTGAATTTTTGTGGAGTAGTAAAATAGACAAAATCAAGAGAAATGTAGTGATGCAAGACCTTATAAATGGTGGTTTAAAAATGAGAAATATAAGAGCCTTTGCAGATGCATTATAACTAAGTTGGGTAAGGAGACTTTATCATAGAGCAGGTAAGTGGTCTGCAATATTACAGACTAATGTAAACATTGACATCCTACTGAATATTGGAGGTGAGTATATACAAAACTGCAAAAATGAAATCAAAAATAAATTTTGGAAAGATGTTTTCAGAGTATGGTACAAACTACAAGCAACAATTGAAAGGTGTACAGGAAAGGAAAAATCAGTTTTGGAAATACCTATATGGTTTAATAGAAATATCACTCTATCTGGAAAATCAATTTTTTATAAGCAATGGTATAGAAAAGGGATAAGAACAATAGCAGACTTACTAGAAGCTGGTAATACTAATAATTTTCTTAGTTTTCAAGACTTTCAGAGAATATACAATGTGACAACTAACTTTTTGAACTATCAAGGTATCATTTCTGCAGTTAAAAAATTCCTAAAATTACAAAAAATACTAAACTTCAATGGCTCCAGTATAGGATCTCTCATCACATTCTGACAACTAATAGTAGGCTTTTTAAGGCAGTCCAGTCCACTTTGTAATCTATGCAACTCAGAAAGAGAATAGATCACTCATCTTCTTTGGGAATGTCAGGAAGTGCAAAACTTTTTACAATCATTTGAAACTAACAGATTCTTTATCAATACCATTCTCAGTCAACAAGCAGTCTTTTATACTTGGAATAAAAAGGAACAATAGCCCTAGCTTTAGAGTTGACAATGAAGTAATTCTTATGATTAAACATTATATATATAAAACAAGATGCCTCCATGCTACTCTCAATATCAACGCCATTGTAAAGATTATACAAAATCACTATTCTGTTCAAAAATATATTTCAAATAGCAAAAACATGTCTTACAAAATTTCACAAATGATTGGAAAAAATGGGAAAACCTTATCAAATTGAATATTTAAATAATTATAATACTTTTTATCCTTGACAGTGCTGTCATATATTTGTTTCACTGTCTTTAGCAAAAAAATTGTTTCAACATCCTATGGACTTCTTATGTCATTTCCCCCTCCCCATCCCTTATCCTATTTCTGTTTTCATCGCTTTGTCTGTTTCTGTAATTGTAGAGAATGATTCAGTGAGAGAGAGCAATCTATGTATAATGTTAATTATTGATATTTCCTCTATGCTATCATTTAGTCTGGCTGTACTATGCTCTGTGTAATCTTTGACAACAAGGGCAGATAACAAAGAATCATCACCAGCTATTCACACCTTTTATTTACAAGGTTTTTTTTTTTTTTTTTTTTTTTTAATGTAAATTACATTTTGTTTCAAACAAGCAGAAGTTGAAACATGGAAAGGCTGTTATGTGGGGCGTATCTCGCTACTCCCAATCCATGCTTGCACTTCTGGTTTGGGATTACACTATTGAAAACATATAATTTTGAATAAAGTTTGGGGATTAGGTGTGAATAGATGATGATGAGGCAAAACACTAATAATAATAAACAGCTCTGTTGTTGATCAGTGTATGATGTAATAATGAGGATGAAAGGTTGATGATGGAGTGGTGATGATGATATGATGATTACGATGCTGAATATGTGTTACTGCTGATGATCATATGATGATGATGATGATGATGATGATGATGATGATATGGTGATGATGATGATAATGAAGTGATGATGATACGATGATCATGATGATAACTATGTGATGATGATGACGATGATGATGATGATGATGATGATGATGATGATGATGATGATGATGATGATGATGATGATAGCAGTCATTGAGTTTGTATTATTATTGGGGCTTGTGAATGAAACACAGTAGTACATTGTATGTCATGTCAGCAAAGAGGAAAGAGTAGGAAATAATGAGTGCATGTTTTGAGTGAGTGTACATTGGTGTAGTGTGATGTGTGCCAGGGTGTGTATGTGTATGTGAGTCTAGTATATATCGTGTGTTGCATACCTTTGTAAAATCTTGAAAAACAAAATAAAAAAAAAAATTAAAAAAAGACTTTTAGCTATTGTTTTTTGGACAGATCATATAATCAAATTTTATTATATACCAACTAAAAGTAGGTACATGATGATTTTTACCCTTTACTTATTCTTTTTTCAACGACGGTATGAGTTTGTTGTTAATTCATCAAATGCTATCTGTATAAATTATTGTTAGTCCCTTTTATTCTACAACACTATCAAACAAAACATATCCTAGATAATTTTCATTAGGCTTAAATATGAGTTTCGAGTATCGTATCACCACCTATGTTCAGAAGAAGGTAGATATCGAGATCACATTGAATTTGCAGCAGTAATCTGATAGAAGGCTAGATCCATTTCATTCAGGTAAAGTTATATCAAAATATGTTACTGATTTTGTCTCTCCGCTTGCGGTACCTAATAGAAAAATATCTATATTATCTAGGTAATCTATTCACAATTGTATTACTTTAATACATACAATAAGTATTCAGCTGTCCGCCAAGCTATCATTTTTTCCGTGTCTTTTACAATGTCGGTTAATTTTCATATTTTGCTTGAGAATGTTGCCAACCGTATATTGTACATGTGCATTGCATTCTTCTGTATAAGGTTATATTGATAAGCTGTGAAACTTAACATCAATTTTGAAATTGATGGAAATGTTGGAAGTTTAGTGTATATTCCAGTCAGTGTTTAACACTTATGTCGACCAAGTTGGTTCTTCCTCGGCCTTCTAGGTTTTTCAACAAATTTTGACCAAAGTATCACGGACAACTCTAAGAAGGCCGAAACAGCTGTTTCATATAGTTTACTTCATAATTTGATTCTGTTGTATCTAACTTTTAGTTTGTAAGCTATTCAATGTACATTTTTTCCTATTATTATACTGGTTCCTGAGATAGCTGCAATGTAAATGTCACGTTTAAATATATCAAAATAGTGACATGGTTTAAGATAACTCAATGTCATAGAAGCGAAGTTTTCTAGATGGTAATGTATAGCTTTATTTAATTTTAACTGACGTTAGAGAGTGACGCTTGTCTGTCATCAATATTGTGAAGAGAAAAACTCTCTAACATCTAACGGTATCGTGAAACTCAGTATGTGTGAAATTGATAGAAGCAGATGATTCATATTGATATAACATTTCACGGCGTGGTATTTCATTGCTGTCAATGAACAAGGCATATTTACATTTTGTTAATAAGATAAAACAATGAAGATGTCATTTGTTGTTCAGAATGTTATGATAAAAACGGTACAAAAGATCAGGCCCCACTTGTATAAAACATCTCAACTTGAGATTTCCTCAAGTCGAGATTTTCCTTAGCTAATATCTCCTTGAAAATATCTTGTATGGAAATTCCTCAAGGAATTTCAGGACATCCTAGCCGATGCCTTCCTCCTGTTCCTTGAGAAAATTTTATGCAAGCCGTTTTTGAGGAGATATCAGCTGAGGAAAATCTCGACTTGAGGAAATCTCAAGTTGAGATGTTTTATACAGGTGGGGCCTGATATGCTATTGTTGATTGACTAACACTTCATTATGAAATTTATGATTATGTATAGCCTCTGCATTGGAAGATATTATTTCCTTAAGTGTCTTTTGCAGATGGTAGACACAGCTAGTGGACTTTTAGTCCCCGAGGTTTGCAGTAACCTGCATGACGCGTTTTTAATCATTTTAAACAGTTCAGAATGACGTTCTTTTCAAATGATCAGAAATTTGAAAATTACGACTTCAACTAAATCATTGGATGAGTGCAGATGCCCATCTCCATTTTGAAATGTCTCCTTAACAATTTTGATTTTCTTGATATTAATTGTTTATTTCACTCTACTGTATCTTATTTTAATTTTGTATTGAAATCAGCTATTGTGTTTTTAGTACCATCTCCGGTACTGGAATATTAAACTAAGAATGACGTTGAATATGTCAGTGAGCTTCACCACTTAAACCGTTTGTATTCAATGCAGTTATCACTTTGGCCCATATTCTGCTCTGCCTAACGTTCTCTTGCGACCATTCAGTGTATGTGACGGTGTCCAGGATAGCCCGAACAGAGGAAGGTAATACAGCAGTGTCTAGTTCCTCAAGTAATATCACCGTTAACACCCCGGGGCCCTCCAATGCAGTTTTCGACTGAGTCAACACAAGTTCGAACTTACACCATTCGCTATTTAGGAAATCTCTGGACAAGACAAGAATGATGTTTTTACTGACCTCAAATTTTCTCGTTATATTGTCCAGAATGAACCGCCCTACCTCGAAATCTCTTTCATGTACGCATAGCCTACAACCAGCTTTCTCCTCCAATTCTGGGATCATGTGATCGAAAATAAAGTCCCTGTTGTCATTTGAATAGATAACGAAAGCATCGTATTCGTAGTCCCGGTCATCCTTAATTCGTTTGTAACCAACTCTCTTTATTCCAAGAATGTGAAGCCAGTAGTTTAGTCGGAAACGAAATTTATAGGCGAGTGATATAGCGATAAGAATGACAGCGATACAGATGTTTCTGATGAGTGGAAAATTCAAACGTGAACACGTTTCCACAGTAGGATTGTAATTCTTCAACAGCACGTTGTTCATTTCAGGAGGAAATCTACAAGTATATCTCCGAGGATAGTTGACAATTTCCGTATGTTTTGTGGACTTCATCCAGTCAAGGAACCACATCAAATCGCACGTGCATGAAAAGGGGTTATCAGTGATACAAAATTTATCTAACGAATTTAGGAAACTTTCCTGAAATGACGTCTTATTTACGACTTTTATGTTATTTCCGTCAAGGTATAAGCTTCGTAGTGATGTTACATTACCAAACACTTCAGGGTCGTCGTTCCAACCACTTATGTAGTTCCCGATAAGGATCAAAGATCTCAAATTAGGCATTTGCTGAAAGACGTTGCGAGGAAGTGCTTTTAAGGCTGTGTTATGTAATATAAGCTTCTCTAACTTAACCAATGGTGTAAACAATTCCCGAAGAGATTGGGAATCCGAAGGTAAGAAATTTCCTGTGAGATCAAGCAACAAGAGGTTCGGTAAGGAATGAAACAACTTCCCATATAGCCAAGAGACCTTTTCAAATCTGTATCGATTTTGTCCAAAGTACAACTTTTTAAGACTTGAAGAGTTGAATGCAAATCCTTCAATGTAACGTAAATGATCACCGTTGGAAGTCATTGAAAGTTTTTCCAGTTTTGGTAACCGTGTAAATGTGTTATTGCGTAAAGTTACGAGAGAAGTCTTATCAAGATATAGATTTCGCAAAAATGGTAAACACTGAAAAGAATATTCATCCAGATTATGGAGGTAATTTTGACGAAAGACAAGTGTCTTGATTTTTACTGTAGACTGTCCAGTCGGTCCACAAAAAGATGGTAACTCTCGCATGGCATTGTTTGCCAGGTGTATATAGGATATTGAAGTAGACTCAAATCCGGTGCAATTGAAGTTCGAGATAAGATTGTTCGATAAATCCAAATTTCGCAGAAAATGTAAACTAGAGAAATAACTTCCATATATATTCTCGATTAAATTGTCACTGAAGGACAACGTTTGAATTGAGGAATTATGTACTTCCGAGAATATGTCTTTCCGAATGGTCTTCCAGAGATTGGATTTTAACGAAAGAATTTGTATTCTAGGCGAATAATGTAGAATGTTTGATATTACATTCTGCCGTATGTCGCCATTTCTGCTGATCTCCAAGGTAAACATGTTCGTTAGATTGGTGAATGCATCCGGGTCTATCATGTTAGTCAAAGTATCGATGAAATGTAATCTTTCCACTTGGACTAAGGTCAGATTGAACAAAAACTTCCCCGTTATTTTCGGAAAGTTTGTCTTTGTAAATATTACAGTTCGTGTATACGCCGGGAAAACCGGAACATAATACACAGCACTTCCAGTACAGTTAACCAGCATCGCTTTAGGATAACATTTGCACATGGTCTCAGGACAGTGATCTACATGTTCGAAACTTTCATAGTGTTCCCAACTTAGGTAGAATACCAACAGCATCAAAGTCGTTCCTAAGCGTTGATACATGGTAATGACAATATGGGTCTGTAAATACAAATAGTCAAAAATTATTATGAAAATTAATGTAATGATTACGTTTTTGATGTTGGTATAGAGCTGTGTGTATAGATTAGGATAATTCTCCACCCTTTAGAAATGTATGCGTGAAAACTTTAAAAAAAATGAAGCCCGCTTAATGCCATATAAATGAAATGGAGACTTTAGCGCGCATTCACATACTGTTACTGTTTTCGTTTCTCGTCGCTTACGGTACCTAATAGAAAAAATATCTTTATTATCTAGGTAATCTATTCACAAATGAATTAGTTATTATGTTCAACGTTTCAAGTCTCATGTTGATAGTTTTTATCAGTATGTATCATTTTCAGATAACTTCCTGTAATATTACACCGTCCGGTAACAAGTCTTTCTTTGATACATGCAATAATTATTCAGCTGTCCGCCAAACTAGCTTATATTCACTTAAAATGTCAATATTTCGATAAAAGTTATCCAAAATAACATTTAACTTGAACTCAACGTATTTTATAACAGTCAGTTATTTATATCCGATATAGAGGAATACCCTAGAGCCATCTTAGAAAAAACATGAAACAAAAACTTTAAGCTCAAATCGCGTATTGAATAAACCAGCCAAGTTTCAGACGTAATTACTCAAGAAATTGCACTTCTGATCATATAAACTTGTATACTGTTTATGCTTACCAACTTAGTCAGGAACAAAAGGAGAAAATAAGCTCTGATCACATCACGCTATCCTTCATCAGATGGATATAAATTTTGGACTAATTTATCTTCTTCCATGTAATGCAGTACTACTACTACGTCTTGGTTTCCCTTTACTTCCTCATTTAACCTTACATACATTGTGACATAGGTATACGATAGATTAAGACAAAAAACAAACTATAACATTTACCACTGGCTTTTATTAACCGTAATATATAACACAAGAACCATTCAATAGAATATACAAAATTTCATGAAAATGATGTGAAAATGATTGATAAATGTCAACATCGCGGGGTTGCACATACAAAAAAGTACATATGAGTACATAAGGACATAATTAGAGATCAGATATCTCTATTACAAGTTTATAAGCGGTTACTTCGAGATATGACATATCAACAAATTTTTTAAATGTGCATATAAATAGGATATACTACTTACTTTCAATAAAACAGAAGCCATCTTAATATCATATAGATCAAATGGAAATTTTTTTCTTCCTGATTTTAAATATTTAAATATTAATGTTATAAGACTTTTAGCTATTGTTTTTTGGACAGATCATATAATCAAATTTTATTATATACCAACTAAAAGTAGGTACATGATGATTTTTACCCTTTACTTATTCTTTTTTCAACGACGGTATGAGTTTGTTGTTAATTCATCAAATGCTATCTGTATAAATTATTGTTAGTCCCTTTTATTCTACAACACTATCAAACAAAACATATCCTAGATAATTTTCATTAGGCTTAAATATGAGTTTCGAGTATCGTATCACCACCTATGTTCAGAAGAAGGTAGATATCGAGATCACATTGAATTTGCAGCAGTAATCTGATAGAAGGCTAGATCCATTTCATTCAGGTAAAGTTATATCAAAATATGTTACTGATTTTGTCTCTCCGCTTGCGGTACCTAATAGAAAAATATCTATATTATCTAGGTAATCTATTCACAATTGAATTAGTTGTCATGTTCAACGTTTCAAGCCTAATATAAATAGTTGAATCATTATGTATCTTTTTCAGATTACTTCCTGTAATATGACACCGTCCGGTTACAAATCTTACCTTAATACATACAATAAGTATTCAGCTGTCCGCCAAGCTATCATTTTTTCCGTGTCTTTTACAATGTCGGTTAATTTTCATATTTTGCTTGAGAATGTTGCCAACCGTATATTGTACATGTGCATTGCATTCTTCTGTATAAGGTTATATTGATGAACTGTGAAACTTAACATCAATTTTGAAATTGATGGAAATGTTGGAAGTTTAGTGTATATTCCAGTCAGTGTTTAACACTTATGTCGACCAAGTTGGTTCTTCCTCGGCCTTCTAGGTTTTTCAACAAATTTTGACCAAAGTATCACGGACAACTCTAAGAAGGCCGAAACAGCTGTTTCATATAGTTTACTTCATAATTTGATTCTGTTGTATCTAACTTTTAGTTTGTAAGCTATTCAATGTACATTTTTTCCTATTATTATACTGGTTCCTGAGATAGCTGCAATGTAAATGTCACGTTTAAATATATCAAAATAGTGACATGGTTTAAGATAACTCAATGTCATAGAAGCGAAGTTTTCTAGATGGTAATGTATAGCTTTATTTAATTTTAACTGACGTTAGAGAGTGACGCTTGTCTGTCATCAATATTGTGAAGAGAAAAACTCTCTAACATCTAACGGTATCGTGAAACTCAGTTTGTTTGAGTGAAATTGATAGAAGCAGATGATTCATATTGATATAACATTTCACGGCGTGGTATTTCATTGCTGTCAATGAACAAGGCATATTTACATTTTGTTAATAAGATAAAACAATGAAGATGTCATTTGTTGTTCAGAATGTTATGATAAAAACGGTACAAAAGATCAGGCCCCACTTGTATAAAACATCTCAACTTGAGATTTCCTCAAGTCGAGATTTTCCTTAGCTAATATCTCCTTGAAAATATCTTGTATGGAAATTCCTCAAGGAATTTCAGGACATCCTAGCCGATGCCTTCCTCCTGTTCCTTGAGAAAATTTTATGCAAGCCGTTTTTGAGGAGATATCAGCTGAGGAAAATCTCGACTTGAGAAAATCTCAAGTTGAGATGTTTTATACAGGTGGGGCCTGATATGCTATTGTTGATTGACTAACACTTCATTATGAAATTTATGATTATGTATAGCCTCTGCATTGGAAGATATTATTTCCTTAAGTGTCTTTTGCAGATGGTAGACACAGCTAGTGGACTTTTAGTCCCCGAGGTTTGCAGTAACCTGCATGACGCGTTTTTAATCATTTTAAACAGTTCAGAATGACGTTCTTTTCAAATGATCAGAAATTTGAAAATTACGACTTCAACTAAATCATTGGATGAGTGCAGATGCCCATCTCCATTTTGAAATGTCTCCTTAACAATTTTGATTTTCTTGAGATTAATTGTTTATTTCACTCTACTGTATCTTATTTTAATTTTGTATTGAAATCAGCTATTGTGTTTTTAGTACCATCTCCGGTACTGGAATATTAAACTAAGAATGACGTTGAATATGTCAGTGAGCTTCACCACTTAAACCGTTTGTATTCAATGCAGTTATCACTTTGGCCCATATTCTGCTCTGCCTAACGTTCTCTTGCGACCATTCAGTGTATGTGACGGTGTCCAGGATAGCCCGAACAGAGGAAGGTAATACAGCAGTGTCTAGTTCCTCAAGTAATATCACCGTTAACACCCCGGGGCCCTCCAATGCAGTTTTCGACTGAGTCAACACAAGTTCGAACTTACACCATTTGCTGTTTAGGAAATCTCTGGACAAGACAAGAATGATGTTTTTACTGACCTCAAATTTTCTCGTTATATTGTCCAGAATGAACCGCCCTACCTCGAAATCTCTTTCATGTACGCATAGCCTACAACCAGCTTTCTCCTCCAATTCTGGGATCATGTGATCGAAAATAAAGTCCCTGTTGTCATTTGAATAGATAACGAAAGCATCGTATTCGTAGTCCCGGTCATCCTTAATTCGTTTGTAACCAACTCTCTTTATTCCAAGAATGTGAAGCCAGTAGTTTAGTCGGAAACGAAATTTATAGGCGAGTGATATAGCGATAAGAATGACAGCGATACAGATGTTTCTGATGAGTGGAAAATTCAAACGTGAACACGTTTCCACAGTAGGATTGTAATTCTTCAACAGCACGTTGTTCATTTCAGGAGGAAATCTACAAGTATATCTCCGAGGATAGTTGACAATTTCCGTATGTTTTGTGGATTTCATCCAGTCAAGGAACCACATCAAATCGCACGTGCATGAAAAGGGGTTATCAGTGCTACAAAATTTATCTAACGAATTTAGGAAACCTTCCTGAAATGACGTCTTATTTACGACTTTTATGTTATTTCCGTCAAGGTATAAGCTTCGTAGTGATGTTACGTTACCAAACACTTCAGGGTCGTTGTTCCAACCACTTATGTAGTTCCCGATAAGGATCAAAGATCTCAAATTAGGCATTTGCTGAAAGACGTTGCGAGGAAGTGCTTTTAAGGCAGTGTTCTGTAGTATAAGCTTCTCTAACTTAACCAATGGTGTAAACAATTCCCGAAGAGATTGGGAATCCGAAGGTAAGAAATTTCCTGTGAGATCAAGCAACAAGAGGTTCGGTAAGGAATGAAACAACTTCCCATATAGCCAAGAGACCTTTTCAAATCTGTAGCGATTTTGTCCAAAGTACAATTTTTTAAGACTTGAAGAGTTGAATGCAAATCCTTCAATGGTACGTAAATGATCACCGTTGGAAGTCATTGAAAGTTTTTCCAGTTTTGGTAACCGTGTAAATGTGTTATTGCGTAAAGTTACGAGAGAAGTCTTATCAAGATATAGATTTCGCAAAAATGGTAAACACTGAAAAGAATATTCATCCAGATTATGGAGGTAATTTTGACGAAAGACAAGTGTCTTGTTTTTTACTGTAGACTGTCCAGTCGGTCCACAAAAAGATGGTAACTCTCGCATGGCATTGTTTTCCAGATTTATATCGGATATTGAAGTAGACTCAAATCCGGTGCAATTGAAGTTCGAGATAAGATTGTTCGATAAATCCAAATTTCGCAGAAAATGTAAACTAGAGAAATAACTTCCATATATATTCTCGATTAAATTGTCACTGAAGGACAACGTTTGAATTGAGGAATTATGTACTTCCGAGAATATGTCTTTCCGAATGGTCTTCCAGAGATTGGATTTTAACGAAAGAATTTGTATTCTAGGCGAATACTGTAGAATGTTTGATATTACATTCTGCCGTATGTCGCCATTTCTGCTGATCTCCAAGGTAAACATGTTCGTTAGATTGGTGAATGCATCCGGGTCTATCATGTTAGTCAAAGTATCGATGAAATGTAATCTTTCCACTTGGACTAAGGTCAGATTGAACAAAAACTTCCCCGTTATTTTCGGAAAGTTTGTCTTTGTAAATATTACAGTTCGTGTATACGCCGGGAAAACCGGAACATAATACACAGCACTTCCAGTACAGTTAACCAGCATCGCTTTAGGATAACATTTGCACATGGTCTCAGGACAGTGATCTACATGTTCGAAACTTTCATAGTGTTCCCAACTTAGGTAGAATACCAACAGCATCAAAGTCGTTCCTAAGCGTTGATACATGGTAATGACAATATGGGTGTGTAAATACAAATAGTCAAAAATTATTATGAAAATTAATGTAATGATTACGTTTTTGATGTTGGTGTAGAGCTGTGTGTATAGATTAGGATAATTCTCCACCCTTTAGAAATGTATGCGTGAAAACTTTAAAAAAATGAAGCCCGCTTAATGCCATATAAATGAAATGGAGACTTTAGCGCGCATTCACATACTGTTACTGTTTTCGTTTCTCGTCGCTTACGGTACCTAATAGAAAAAATATCTTTATTATCTAGGTAATCTATTCACAAATGAATTAGTTATTATGTTCAACGTTTCAAGTCTCATGTTGATAGTTTTTATCAGTATGTATCATTTTCAGATAACTTCCTGTAATATTACACCGTCCGGTAACAAGTCTTTCTTTGATACATGCAATAATTATTCAGCTGTCCGCCAAACTAGCTTATATTCACATAAAATGTCAATATTTCGATAAAAGTTATCCAAAATAACATTTAACTTGAACTCAACGTATTTTATAGCAGTCAGTTATTTATATCCGATATAGAGGAATACCCTAGAGCCATCTGAGAAAAAACATGAAACAAAAACTTTAAGCTCAAATCGCGTATTGAATAAACCAGCCAAGTTTCAGACGTAATTACTCAAGAAATTGCACTTCTGATCATATAAACTTGTATACTGTTTATGCTTACCAACTTAGTCTGGAACAAAAGGAGAAAATAAGCTCTGATCACATCACGCTATCCTTCATCAGATGGATATAAATTTTGGAGTAATTTATCTTCTTCCTTGTAATGCAGTACTACTACTACGTCTTGGTTTCCCTTTACTTCCTCATTTAACCTTTCATACATTGTGACATAGGTATACGATAGATTAAGACAAAAAAAACTATAACATTTACCACTGGCTTTTATTAACCGTAATATATAACACAAGAACCATTCAATAGAATATACAAAATTTCATGAAAATGATGTGAAAATGATTGATAAATGTCAACATCGCGGGGTTGCACATACAAAAAAGTACATATGAGTACATAAGGACATAATTAGAGATTAGATATCTCTATTACAAGTTTATAAGCGGTTACTTCGAGATATGACATATCAACAAATTTTTTAAATGTGCATATAAAGGAAATCTCAAGTTGAGATGTTTTATACAGGTGGGGCCTGATATGTTATTGTTGATTGACTAACACTTCATTATGAAATTTATGATAATGTGTAGCCTCTGCATTGGAAGATATTATTTCCTTAAGTGTCTTTTGCAGATGGTAGACACAGCTAGTGGACTTTTAGTCCCCGAGGTTTGCAGTAACCTGCATGACGCGTTTTTAATCATTTTAAACAGCTCAGAATGACGTTCTTTTCAAATGATCAGAAATTTGAAAATTACGACTTCTACTAAATTATTGGACGAGTGCAGATGCCCATCTCCATTTTGAAATGTCTCCTTAACAATTTTGATTTTCTTGATATTAATTGTTTATTTCACTCTACTGTATCTTATTTTAATTTTGTATTGAAATCAGCTATTGTGTTTTTTGTACCATCTCCGGTACTGGAATATTAAACTAAGAATGACGTTGAATATGTCAGTGAGCTTCACCACTTAAACCGTTTGTATTCAATGCAGTTATCACTTTGGCCCATATTCTGCTCTGCCTAACGTTCTCTTGCGACCATTCAGTGTATGTGACGGTATCCAGGATAGCCCGAACAGAGGAAGGTAATACAGCAGTGTCTAGTTCCTCAAGTAATATCACCGTTAACACCCCGGGGCCCTCCAATGCAGTTTTCGACTGAGTCAACACAAGTTCGAACTTACACCATTCGCTGTTTAGGAAATCTCTGGACAAGACAAGAATGATGTTTTTACTGACCTCAAATTTTCTCGTTATATTGTCCAGAATGAACCGCCCTACCTCGAAATCTCTTTCATGTACGCATAGCCTACAACCAGCTTTCTCCTCCAATTCTGGGATCATGTGATCGAAAATAAAGTCCCTGTTGTCATTTGAATAGATAACGAAAGCATCGTATTCGTAGTCCCGGTCATCCTTAATTCGTTTGTAACCAACTCTCTTTATTCCAAGAATGTGAAGCCAGTAGTTTAGTCGGAAACGAAATTTATAGGCGAGTGATATAGCGATAAGGATGATAGCTGACGGTACGAATACAGCGATACAGATGTTTCTGATGAGTGGAAAATTCAAACGTGAACACGTTTCCACAGTAGGATTGTAATTCTTCAACAGCACGTTGTTCATTTCAGGAGGAAATCTACAAGTATATCTCCGAGGATAGTTGACAATTTTCGTATGTTTTGTGGACTTCATCCAGTCAAGGAACCACATCAAATCGCACGTGCATGAAAAGGGGTTATCAGTGATACAAAATTCATCTAATACATTTAGGAAACTTTCCTGAAATGGCGTCTTGTTTATAACTTTTATGTTATTTCCGTCAAGATATAAGCTTCGTAGTGATGTTACGTTACCAAACACTTCAGGGTCGTTGTTCCAACCACTTATGTAGTTCCCGATAAGGATCAAAGATCTCAAATTAGGCATTTGCTGAAAGACGTTGCGAGGAAGTGCTTTTAAGGCAGTGTTCTGTAGTATAAGCTTCTCTAACTTAACCAATGGTGTAAACAATTCCCGAAGAGATTGGGAATCCGAAGGTAAGAAATTTCCTGTGAGATCAAGCAACAAGAGGTTCGGTAAGGAATGAAACAACTTCCCATATAGCCAAGAGACCTTTTCAAATCTGTAGCGATTTTGTCCAAAGTACAATTTTTTAAGACTTGAAGAGTTGAATGCAAATCCTTCAATGGTACGTAAATGATCACCGTTGGAAGTCATTGAAAGTTTTTCCAGTTTTGGTAACCGTGTAAATGTGTTATTGCGTAAAGTTACGAGAGAAGTCTTATCAAGATATAGATTTCGCAAAAATGGTAAACACTGAAAAGAATATTCATTCAGATTATGGAGGTAATTTTGACGAAAGACAAGTGTCTTGATTTTTACTGTAGACTGTCCAGTCGGTCCACAAAAAGATGGTAACTCTCGCATGGCATTGTTTTCCAGATTTATATCGGATATTGAAGTAGACTCAAATCCGGTGCAATTGAAGTTCGAGATAAGATTGTTCGATAAATCCAAATTTCGCAGAAAATGTAAACTAGAGAAATAACTTCCATATATATTCTCGATTAAATTGTCACTGAAGGACAACGTTTGAATTGAGGAATTATGTACTTCCGAGAATATGTCTTTCCGAATGGTCTTCCAGAGATTGGATTTTAACGAAAGAATTTGTATTCTAGGCGAATACTGTAGAATGTTTGATATTACATTCTGCCGTATGTCGCCATTTCTGCTGATCTCCAAGGTAAACATGTTCGTTAGATTGGTGAATGCATCCGGGTCTATCATGTTAGTCAAAGTATCGATGAAATGTAATCTTTCCACTTGGACTAAGGTCAGATTGAACAAAAACTTCCCCGTTATTTTCGGAAAGTTTGTCTTTGTAAATATTACAGTTCGTGTATACGCCGGGAAAACCGGAACATAATACACAGCACTTCCAGTACAGTTAACCAGCATCGCTTTAGGATAACATTTGCACATGGTCTCAGGACAGTGATCTACATGTTCGAAACTTTCATAGTGTTCCCAACTTAGGTAGAATATCAACAGCATCAAAGTCGTTCCTAAGCGTTGATACATGGTAATGACAATATGGGTGTGTAAATACAAATAGTAAAAAATTATTATGAAAATTAATGTAATGATTACGTTTTTGATGTTGGTGTAGAGCTGTGTGTATAGATTAGGATAATTCTCCACCCTTTAGAAATGTATGCGTGAAAACTTTAAAAAAATGAAGCCCGCTTAATGCCATATAAATGAAATGGAGACTTTAGCGCGCATTCACATACTGTTACTGTTTTCGTTTCTCGTCGCTTACGGTACCTAATAGAAAAAATATCTTTATTATCTAGGTAATCTATTCACAAATGAATTAGTTATTATGTTCAACGTTTCAAGTCTCATGTTGATAGTTTTTATCAGTATGTATCATTTTCAGATAACTTCCTGTAATATTACACCGTCCGGTAACAAGTCTTTCTTTGATACATGCAACAATTATTCAGCTGTCCGCCAGTCTAGCTTATATTCACATAAAATGTCAATATTTCGATAAAAGTTATCCAAAATAACATTTAACTTGAACTCAACGTATTTTATAACAGTCAGTTATTTATATCCGATATAGAGGAATACCCTAGAGCCATCTGAGAAAAAACATGAAACAAAAACTTTAAGCTCAAATCGCGTATTGAATAAACCAGCCAAGTTTCAGACGTAATTACTCAAGAAATTGCACTTCTGATCATATAAACTTGTATACTATTTATGTTTACCAACTTAGTCTGGAACAAAAGGAGAAAATAAGCTCTGATCACATCACGCTATCCTTCATCAGATGGATATAAATTTTGGACTAAGTTATCTTCTTCCTTGTAATGCAGTACTACTACTACGTCTTGGTTTCCCTTTACTTCCTCATTTAACCTTTCATACATTGTGACATAGGTATACGATAGATTAAGACAAAAAAACTATAACATTTACCACTGGCTTTTATTAACCGTAATATATAACACAAGAACCATTCAATAGAATATACAAAATTTCATGAAAATGATGTGAAAATGATTGATAAATGTCAACATCGCGGGGTTGCACATACAAAAAAGTACATATGAGTACATAAGGACATAATTAGAGATTAGATATCTCTATTACAAGTTTATAAGCGGTTACTTCGAGATATGACATATCAACAAATTTTTTAAATGTGCATATAAATAGGATATACTACTTACTCTCAATAAAACAGAAGCCATCTTAATATCATATAGATCAAATGGAAATTTCTTTCTTCCTGATTTTAAATATTTAAATATTAATGTTATAA